AGGACGTCGCTTCACTGGCCCATGTTGGTATTATCACTGCGCTCTTCCTGGATGAGGCAGTCACTCGCCGGCCATGGGACAGCGGCTCACGGCAACTCACACCGGCTGCCGGCCACTCACGCTGGCTGCCGGCCACACACGGTAGCTTATGGCAGCCCACTGAAGCAGGGGCTGCAGCCTACGCTGTCGTTGGCCATTCATGGCAGCCCAGCTCCAGGTCGAGTTGCTGTTCACCATCTTAGTTGTAGAGGGTGCAGCGTCACTAACCTTCATGTGGGATCCGAACCAGGGCCCTGCTGCTCAGAGCTGGCGTCCCAAGCCAACTCTTCAACCAACGCGCCACTCGGCCGGCCCAAATATAAAAATTTTTTGTGCTTCAAAGGACACCATCAAGAAAGTAAAAAGATGACCCACAGAATAGGAGAAAAATCTTTGTAAGTCATATATATTATTTTAAAAATTTGCATTTAGAGTACATAAAGAACTCTTGCAACTGAATAATAAAAAGAGAAATGACCCAATTAAAAATGGGCAAAAGATCTGAATAGTCATGTCTCCAAAGAAGACATACAAATGGCCAACAAGCACATGAAAAGATAATCTCAGCAGCCATCAAGGAAATGAAAATCAAAACCACAAAGAGATACCACTTCACACACACTAGGACGAGTATAATAAAAAAGACAGGTAATATTGTTGGTGAAAATGTGGAGAAACTGGGACTCTCATACACTGCTCATGGAAATGTAAAATGACACAAGTGCTTGGAAAACATTCTGCCAGTTCCACAAAAGGTTAAACGTCGAGTCACCATATGACCCAGCAATTTCAATCCTAGTTATATACTCAAGAGAAATGAAACATACATTCACACAAAAACTTACATATGAATGTTCATGTAGCATTATTTATTGTATAATAGCCAAAAAGTGGAAACCCAAATGTCCATTAACAGATGAATAAAAAGAATGCAGTATATATCTATACAAAGGAGTACTATTTGGCAGTGAAAATGAATGAAATGGTATAACATGGATGAACCATGAAAACATTAGGTTAAAGAAACCAGCCATGAAAGGCCACGCATTTTATGATTCCATTGTCCAGAACAGGCAAATCTATAAAGACAGAAAGTAGATGAATGGTTGCTTAGGCCTGGGTAGGTTAAAGGGAAAAAGGGAATTGACAGCTAATGTGTGCAGGGTTTTTTTCTGGGGCAATGAAAATGTTCCAAAATTGCTTATGGTGAAGGTTGTACAACTCTGTGAATATACTAAAAAATTACTGAATTATACACACACTTTAAGCAGGTGAATTGTATGGTATGTGAGTTATATCTCAATAAAGCTGTTAATAAATATATATATATTTTGGATTTACTAGATGGGGGTGGGGAGAACTTGCTATAATCCATAATTTTTTTCCAAGGTGGCTACTTATTTATACCTATTTTGTTTAAAAAGGATTTGACGTGGCTTATGAGAGTAGCTATAGTTGAACTGTAATTTTGCAAAATTAAAATTCTTCTACTTATCGACTTATAAGGATTTAGTTTAAACTTGTGCTATACAAAGCACTGCTGTAGCTATGAAAGGTACAAAGACAAGGTATTCCCAGCACTTAAAAGAACAAATCTAGAAGGAATGATACATAGAAACACCTAACCATAATACTCAGTAGAATGAGATAAATACTGTAATAAAGGTAAAAACAAAGTGTAATGGAAACCCAGTAAAAGAAGCAATTGATCCTCTACTGGGGAAACTTGAAGTTCAAACACTAAGCTTCTCAAACCTAGTCCTTACTGAACTGAGTGCCATGACCAGCAGGGTCCAACAAGAACCAATCTACCTCCTTGAATCAGCAGGTGGGTTACACTCGAACCACCAAAAGCAGTCACAGAGGCTTGCTGTTATCTATAACCCTTCTCTGGAGAAGCTCTATACTGAATTGAGTTGCCCAGACTGCATGGGGAAGGTGCTATTTATGGAAAATGATAGTTCACTGTAGCTCTACCATCAATACACATGTAATGACCACTTCACAACTATTACATAGGGCTTCCCACAGCCTCCTTGTATCTTGCTTTTTCTCATCTGAAGAAATATAAGAATGAAATGAATACAAAGCAGTTCCTACATAAAGTTGCTAAAAGAACACAATCATTATGAACTATAAGATCTGAAATGAATGCAATAATGGCCTTATTTCTACATTCTTATTTATCATCACTCCCTACATATATTAAACAAATATTTATTAAGTACCTCCTATATTCTAAGAGCTGGGAATACAGCAATGAACTAGATAGACAAAATCCCTATACGTATGGACTTTATAATCCAAAAGGGTAAATTTCAAAAGAATTCATTATTCCTAAAATTATGAGTATGTTCAAATTTAGCTCAACTAAACTAACCTGAGTCTTCAAACTAAGGGTTTGCTTTCTTTGGTAGCTGATCCCCATTCCCCATGTAAATTACAGAATTTACTGGATAAAAATTTACCTTTCCTTCTAATTACATGAAGATAAGCAAATTTGTATCTATATGTTGCTTCCAGATTATATTAGAAAGGTAAAAAAATTCCAAGTCACATACATTTTAAGTATGTCAGGTGGAACATAATGAAGGAAAAGCTAATTAGAGTACACTAATTATCTTTCTACCTCTTGACAAAGTAGTTCTTGCATTGAGTGAGTACTGCAATGCTGAGTGAAAAGTTAAAATATACCTGAGCAAATACTTTCCTAAACAAGTATCCATAAAATGCTGGCACTTTTATTTCTATTTAACAATGAGAAGTATTTCTCTTTACAGTTTGAGAAACTGTATTACGTTTTTAAATATTAGCAATACAGAAAGATATTTTAAATTCAACTTTAATTACTATGTAAAAATATGAACATACACATATATGTACATGTGTTTATGTATGTGTGTATATATGTATATAAAGACATCAGGAAGAATACACAAACTGTTTTTAATAGTGTATATTATCAAGAAGAACACTTTATTCATGTATGTTTTCTTCATGTATGCTTCAGCAACAAAAACAAAAATAATAGGTTATCAGTAATTTTTCATTTTAATTTACTGTGTTTTCTGAGTTCTTAAAAAACTTTCAAAACTTCACTTTGGGGGCCGTCCGAGTTGCACGTTGGTTAAGAGCTGGCTTGGGATGCCAGCTCTGAGCAGCAGGGCCCAGGTTTGGATCCCACATTAGGACCAGTGACGCTGCGCCCTCTAAAGCTAAGATGGTGAAAAACAGCTCGACCTGGAGCTGGGCTGCCTTGAGTTGCTGTGACGGCGTAGGCTGCAGTAAGAAAAAAAACAAAATGAAAAACTTCACTTTGATTTTTTTTTTTTTTACTAAAGAAAGTATTCAGGGACTGAAGCACTGTAAAAAAAAATTATTTCTTTGGTCATAATCTATAAATAGTACATTAAAGTATTTTATCCAAGTTAAATGTACTGAAGTTGGTGACTGTAGTGTACTGTAGTATGTAAAGAAATATTCTTATCTTAGAAAATACATATTAAGGTATTTAGGTGTTAAGAGCAGGATGAATATAACTTATTTTCAAACAGTTCAGAAAAAAGAAGTATTATTTTATATAAAGAGAAATGCATGAACGATAAAGCAAATGGAGTAAAATGTTAACAACAGGTGAACCTGGTAAAGGACATATGGGTGTCCTTTGTATTCTTATTTTTACATTTTTCCTGTAAGTTTGAAATTATTTCAAAATAAAATATTTAAATTTTTTTTAATTAAGGATTAAAGTTAGGTACTTATTAAAACCAGGGAGGAATGGCAGATCTCAGCCCTCATAGTCTATGATAGGATTTGACTTTATGAAGGATGGCTTTAAATAAAAAATGGAAGAAAAGCTAAAACAGTATTTGAACGTATGTCTCCAGTCTGTGTTGGGGGAGGAGATGAGGCACATCTAGTTATATAAGCAAAGTCAGAGGCCTTCAAGCCCTTTGATTCCAACTACCACAAAACCAGAAGCCAGCTATCTTTCCCCCACTTCAGGGTCAAGTTTTAACCAACATTCTGTCTCAAACCCTGACTAAAGACTTTCTTAATTCTGTAACCAAACATACAGCAGCAAAGTACCTAGTACACATTCAATAAATGTGTTCATTCAACAAATACTGATTGAGGACCTACTTATTCTAGGCCTTTGTTTCTTCCATCCATAAAACAGTACTTACATCCTATGAGGATTAAATGAGTTAACATGTGTAAACTTAAAATAGGGTATGACACACAGCAATCAATAAATATTAGCTGTTAGCGATAGGTGCTAGGCTAGATGCCAAAGATAGTAGTGAGACAGTCCAGTGGGCAATTCAAATAAGTAAAATATACAATTACTATACTGTGGTTAAACACAGTAAAAGAGAAAGTATTTTTAAAGTATATTTAAAAGGTGAATATTATGGTAAACGACTTATATCTCAATTTTAAAAAGAGAAAGAAAGAACAGGGTACCATGGAGCACAAAATAAGAGCACTGAATCTAGAGTCAAGGAAGGCAAGATATATACTGTCCCAGACTAAAGGAACCGTTTGTATTTAAAAATAAGAAGAAGAAAAAGAAGCCCAAAAGAGAATTAAAAGAAATCTCTGGCACATGGGGAGTATGAAGTGCGGGAAAGTGTAAGTTCCTTTTGCTACCTGTCATCTCCTGTATTCTCACCCCAGTATTGCTCTGAGCTGCCTCCCCACTAAAGCATCTCCTCATTGCTGATCATTCCATTATGTCCTCTGGACCTTTCTCCCCACACACTAATTAAACAAACCTTTTTCTAACTTCAGTATCTTCCCAGAATGTGTGTTTCCCCACTTCCCCTCCATGAAGGACGCTCCTAACATTGCAGCCCTCTGCCTTAGCAGGTTGCTCACTTTCCCACGCCTTATGGACTCTGGGCTCTGATCTTCCTTAGCACTGTTTTCCTAGAAGCCCTCTCTTTTTTCATCTGCACCTTGAAACTGGTATTTCCCTGGCCCTCTTTTTATTCTATCCTCTCATCTACTCCCATAGCTTTAAATAATACCTATACCCTAATCCCAAAACAATGTCTTTCCGACTACGGGTCTTTTCTAAACTTCTGATTGTCCAACAGAAGACACCTAATATGCGTCAAGCATTGGAGCAGACACAGTGAAGTAGAACAGTGCTTCCCACACCTTAATGTGGTTCTAATCACCCAGGTATCCTGTAAAATGTACAATATGATTTGCTAGGTATGGCTTGGGACCTGGAATTCTACATTTCTAACAAGCTCCCAGGTGATGTCAATACTGCTGGTCCAAACTTTGCATAGCAAGAAGCTTACAGATGTCTCTCTTTGAAAAGCAACTATGGGGTAAAAAGAAAAAAAAAAGGCAAGTACAGTAGCTAAAATAGTCAATTAAATACATGTGATTCTTCACTCCCTCCATAAACGACTCCAAATTGGCAATACAATATATTGTTAAAGGTATAAACACATAATAGCAAAGAAATCAGGGAGGAAACAACAGCAGATGATAGCAACACAACTTTAATACAGAGCAAGCAACCAGATGAATCTGACTTGGTTGAGTACAAAAACTTGAAACCTAAGCCTGAAGAGAGAAAGTCCAATAAAAAAGCAATCTGACTTACAATACTGTACTCTGGTAAGACCAGGAATTGGAGGCACAGTGCATCTCTGAAGGGAAGGATGGGCTGAAAACAGGAGGATTGGCTGCAAGTCTATAGAAACAGCAGATATATCCCCAGTTTTCCTCCCCAACCCCCAAGCAACCAGGAACTACCCTTCCCCCAACCTAGACAAAAGCTGCTGTCAGCTCAAGTCCAGAGAAACAATTAAAGAGGCTTTGGACTCAGGGAACACTAAGCACAGCTGGGACTAGGGTAAGTCCCTTATTGAAAACAGAATTAAGGAAAAGTCTACTAAATAGGTAGATGTCCCAACCCTTTTCCCCACCTCAGTTCTCTGAATACTGAGCCACCAAGCTTATACCCCAGGCAGGAGTTAGGGAGATTTTCTCTGGAGAAACTGACACAACCTCAAACAAGACTTAAAAATACAGATCTTTTAATAGTTACCAATGAAAAAGATATCTTACTACCTTTTCAGTGAAGGCCTCCAGTTAACATGTCCAGCCCACTTACATGAAGCTTCAGATTAGCTTTTTAGTATCTCCTTCTTAAATAGAACAAACCCTTTAAAAAGGGAGGAAAGTCTGACACATGCTACAACATGGACGAAACTTGAAGACATCTCTTCATAAAGACAATAAGAATCTTGAAGAAATAAGCCAAGCACAAAAGGACAAATGTTGTATGGTTTCTCTTAGATGAGGTACCTAAAGTAGTCAAATTCAGAGACAGAAAGTAGGATGGTGGCTGCCAGGGGCTGCAGGTAAGGGGAATGGGAAGTTAGTGTTTAATGGGTTTCAATTAGGTAAATTTCAATTTCAATTAGGTAAAATGAAAAAGTTCTGGAAATGGATGATAGCAATGGTTGCACAACAATGTAAATATACTTAATGCCTCAGAATGGTTAAGATGATACATTTTGTTATGTATATTTACGACAATTAAAAAATAAAAGAACAAACCAGGAGACATTTGAAGAAAGCCATCAATGTTAAAGAAGAAGACCAAAACAAACAAAAATGGAACTTAGGAGTAAACAAAGAATTCAAGGAAAAGAAAGCTTCACAGACATAAAAAAAAGTATAATACCCTCAGAAATATAAAAGATAATATTGCATCAATAAAACACAAACAACATACATAATAAACTAACATTAAAGAACAAGAGCCCTTATGTATTAAAATTATAATAGAGATTTTTTTTAAATTTCACCTAAGTTGGTAAAGTTGAGGAAATCTCTCAAGAAGTGGAACAAAAAGAGAAAGTATGAAAAATAGGAGAAAAGACAGAACTAGAGGATAAACCCAGAAGATACAACACTGAACTAACAGAAGTTCCAGAAAGCAGAACAAAAAACATTTAAATAAGAAAAAATTTTCAGAAATGAAGGGCATACATGTCCAGAATGAAAGTGCCCAAAGAGTATGCTCCACAATGAATGAAAAAGACCCATATCAAGACATATCTCGGGCCAGCCAAGTGGCTCAGCTGGTTAAGAGCTCACTTGGAAGCGCCAGCTCTGAGCAGCAGGGCTGCGGTTCGGATCCCACAGTGAGGGCCAGTGACACTCGCCCTCTACAGCTAAGATGGTGAACAACAACTCAACCTGGAGCTGGGCTGCTGTGAGTCCCCGGAGACGGCGTAGGCTGCAGCGGGGCTGCAGTGGGCTGCCATGAGCTACGTGAGTGGCTGGCAGCCAGCGTGAGCAGCAGGCAGCCGGTGTGAGCTGCCGGGAGCCGCTCTGAGCGGCCGACCAATGACCAGCGACCGACTGCCTCACCCAGGAAGAGCACAATGATCATACCAACATGGGCCAGTGAAGTGACGTCCTCAACAACTAGACTGAAGAACAAAAAAAACAGCCATTTGTCTACCTGTCTGTTCCCCTTCCCCGATTCCCCAA